CTGTAAGAACCAAAGCCAAAAGAAATCGAGGAAAAAACCAGAGAGAGCGCAATATAAAAAAGGTGAGACCGAGAAGATATTTACCTATGCTTCTTCTTACCACTTGACGTCTCCATGAGAGGAATCGGAGCCAAAAGGAGTAGCCGGAGTTGGAGCCGGAGTGAAAGTAGTGCGGGTTGGAGCCGGAGTTTGCTCACTGCTCTTGGCGTTCTGCTTCGCTGAAGGACGCTTTCTTTTCGTTTCGCTACGAGCTTTCTCTGCCTCGGGTGCTGCTTCTTGAGAGCTCACCTCCAAAGTGATCACATCACTGGAGAAGGATCCTGCTGAATGACTGGAGGAGTTTGGGCCTGCGAGCTTCTTCGGCTCGCTGTTTTCTTCTGACCACCTTGAGAGCCCTTCAAAGTTTCTTCCACGTTTTGCATCTCCGGGGCAACATCCGGCTCCAACTGGAGCTCCGTGCTGTAAAGAGCGAGTCCAAGCAACCGACTAGCTTACCTGGGAGTACTTGCTCCTCTTAACCTTATTTGAAGTATGTATCCGATTCTTCTTCGCTAGGATCGGAACCGGAAGCAGTTTTAGCTGGAGGTTTTACTTGCTTATGCGTCCCAGAAAGGCGCCTGTCTCTTGCTTTCCCAGAATTTGGCGGCTGAGAGCTTGGCAATTCCTGCTCCGAGTCAGATTGAGAAGTACTTGTTTTGGTCCTGAAAAGTAGGCCCACTCTGGCAATATTCAGACAATACAGCCCATTTTATCTCCTCCCACATGCAATAGTATTGCCTACTGAGGCTGAAATCATTCTTAAAAGTCATAATTTACTATTTTTGTTAGTGAAAAAAATGTCTTGTTTCTGATGGAGTTTTGACAACTCCCTCCACCTCATTCGAGCCTAGGAAAATCTTTCTATTTTATGGAATTGAGGGTTGTGAAAAACTTTCCAAAGTGTGTCATGTGCTTGTTTGCCCCTAAATCAAGCTACACCTGTCTCATCCTGGAAGTGGCCTAATTCTAGATGCTTATGGCCATGAACAACCTGCTACCCTTCTTTGCCATACTAGTAAAGTTGGTGGACTTTTTACTATTGGCCACTCTGTCTCTTGGCTATTCTTGCCCCTTTGCTCTCTTGGCTTCTTTATTTCTTGCCTAGTGTTTTGGCTTCTTACAAATGTTGCACAAATTGTTTTTATTCTTCTTTTTGAATTTATTGTAGTGTATATAATCATAGGATGAAATTTGAATATATTGTTACTATTAGAACTTTAGGGGTATATATGCTTTCTCATTAAACAATTACATTTTTTTTAGTTTGATTAAAGGGAAATATAAAATGTATGGTATCGAAACAAATGGCATGAGTTCATTGCTTAAAATATAATATACTACTAAACAAAGCATGTTTCTACTCTTGAAAATGAAATTAAACACATTAGGCATTCATAAATATATCCCATCTTTTGCTATTCTTCATTTTTCTAATTTCCATCATTGTCACCTAAATTAAGGTCTCTTTCAATCACTCTCTAGAGATCCATGAAGACTTTCCATGACTAAAAATCCTGGCTGTACACCTGGTATTATTAGGCTCTTATTCACATATCATGATGGTTAGCTTGACCTAGAAGGAAGCTGGAACATTCCCTCAATAAATTGAAACCACATGTAAACAACTCAAGGCCATCTCTCATGGATTTGTAGTCCCAAAACATTGACAGCCAGTGCTCCCTATTTTAACATTTCCAAGATTAGAACTGATGCAATGCAGTGCAATGGAAGTGTCTTTTCTTCATGGATCACCATTACTCCCGTTACTTCATACTTCCGTGTTCTTGGAAGAGCTCACCACACAATAGGACACGTATTGAAGTTGTTGTGAAAGAATCCATGTATCATCTCTGGAGGCTGGATGCTGCAAATACCTCTTCCACCTCAATTATCGAATAATTATAAGCAAGAAAAAAAGAAGTTACTCACTCAAAAATTGGGCCAGAACTTTATTTTGCAAAGAGGACTGTATGCTACGATCATTAATTCACTAATATTATAGCAAGATGAAGGAACATGAATAGGCACTGGATGGAACTTACTTTTGTTGGTCTATCTTATTTCAGAAAAGTTAACAGCATCTTAAGTTTGTGGGTAGGAGAAGTTATCAATGGTGCGAACAAGTCTGAACAACTCGCTTGCAATTGTGATTCTTGGTTTTTTGATAACAGAGCTCGAGCGCTGACCCCTGGCAGAATTAAAAAGAACATCAAACTTCTAGATCTTCTTCTTCTGTTGAGGCATTTTATTTGTTTTTATTGTATGTTTTGGCCAGGCAGTTTCGTCGTTGCAGTCATGAGAGTTGCACATTCAATAGTTTAAATTATTTAGTTGTTGATTATTTAGCATTATAAAAACAATTCAGGAACTCGCTCTCAAACACAAACTTTTAAGCAATAGATTCTTCAGTGGCCTCAGTGCCAATATATTTGATGACCATAATCACATCCAGACGAGATTCTCCAATTCTTGTGGCTGAGAAACATCAGCTCCACTCGATCGCCTCGTTTCCATCAGGTACCAATCCCACCTTTCTGACCAGGCATCCCCACTTGGGCAATGTTATCTATGCGGTAAACGAAGTGGAGAGTGGCGCTCTCGAGGCATTCTCCTTCTCTCCACATCTCTCTCGTCTCGCCATCCCTTGTGGCTCGGTCCCGGAGCGGCAAGTGGATCTTGTTTGCGATCTCCACCGGTTTCGCTGATCAAGGTTCCAGGTCTCACGGGGCCGAGGAACAATCCCTGGCAAAACGGTCCTCATCCCCACCAGATCATCACGGACTCCTCGGTCTTCGTTTGTGATCTCGGCACCGATAAGATCCACGTCCGAGTTCTCAACGTCCCGACTGGAGGCCGCGACTCCGGAGGTTTCACTTGAGCCTGGCTCGGGTCCTCGGCATATGATCTTCTCCCGCGACGAGCGATTCGCATACGTGCTCAACGAGCTCGCAAACACCGTGAGCCAGCTCTCGTATGATCCGGGGAATGGAGCACTGCGTTTGATCCAGAGCTGGTCCACTCTGGATGATAGCGTAGCGAACAAGAGCGCGTTCATAGCGGCGGAAGTGGCTCTCTCGCCGGCCATTCCAACCTGCAGCAGTGGTGAGGAGTTTCGAGATGAAAGAGGCCTCTTGGTGCGCTTTTCATCGACGTTCTCCTTGAGGTACTGAAAAATAGAGCATGAGTTATCAGGCCATCCGCTAAAGGGGAGTTCCTTGCACTGGAGATTTTTCACGCTCGCTGTACGAGTGGGACTTTCAAACAAGAGAGTTTCAGTCCTTTTCATTGGCACGGAAGAGAAAGACTTGCGGGAAGCAGATTGTGGTTCAATGCCGATGAAACAGTGACATCCAACAATTCGTTTTTAGTATTATAGATTACTTATATTTTCGGTTTGCCACAGCTTCATAATCCTTGTGAGTGACTTTATATCTTCCTAAAAGATGGTCGCCACTCTTGGCAGGAGGGAATCTATCACAAAGCAAGCAAACTTAGAAATACCACCAGGAGAAAGCTAGCTACATACTTTGATGGATTCAGCTCGCTGCAACACGTTGGAATGCACTCCACAATGCAGTCAAAATTTGGCCCCATGAAGAAAGCAATCTGTCGAAAGTAATCCATCACGATTCTAAACACGTCAAGCATTTTGCTCACCGAGTAGCGTTCGACCCCATAGTTGAGCACCCGGTGCAATGTTGACCTTGATAGACAATGTGAACCAACGTCGGAGTCTCAAACAATCTCAATATTTCTACCTGAAAAGGTTGTTTGTCCAGCGCTCTAGCATATCTCCCAAGTTGACTATAAATGCCCTGCTCATCAAATCCACAGGTAAGTGGGCTTCATAGCTAGTCCTCAAACCCACCCTTTCAGTGGCTGGACATTAGTCCAGACTTGCTCCTTTGCATCCTTCTCCTTGCAAATCTATCCTTTCCAAGTGCCGATCATAATTTTTATTATTAGAACACGTACACCTACCTGGAGACCAGGAACGCCATCGCTGGCGAGAAGTGTGAGCATTCCATAGTCACTGTGCGCACCAGCACCAAAAAATCCCTCTTCCGGATCGGAAGCTTGAGCTGTATCGAGGACAAAGGAAAAAACTCTCAAAAGATCTCAATTAACTTACCTGGATAGTGAAGCAAACGAACCGCTGCCATGGGGTGGTCAAACATCCCAGGCTTGTCGAAAAACGATTCTTCTAGTTCCAACGCTAGCGCAATGAGCTTGATTAGTTTCCGCGAGAGCTTTCTGCAAGCCAAAGTCTCTTTCTTTGTTCAAGAAGAGAAAAAGAGAAATATACGTACTCGGCCTGGTCGAAATACATTTCCATTGTTTGCTTCCATTCTGGGAGTGTATCTGGCAAAGTTTGGAGAAAAACAAACACAGTAACGTTTAGAAGAAGGACCAAGAGAAAATCAAACCAGGAGATGGCCATTGATTCGGTCCTTGCAAAGGATCCTTCGCTCTGGGATCACTCCCTGAAACTTCACGTCGAATATAATACCCTTCCTTCGCATCCCCTGTTCTCGACATGAAAACACGATGAGCATCACACAACACAAACGTCTTTACCAAGGCGCTGCTTTGCCGGATCCAGTTTCTCGTCAAAGATCGGGGTGTAGCCCCGGAAGTTCTCATCCTGGTAGACCTTCATCTTCTCCTCCAAGGGAAGCGTGAAGAATTTCCGGCTCTGCTCAAACACCTGTGCCATAAACTCCTCGCTTATCCCGTGGTTCGCAACATAGAAGAACCCCGTCTCCAGGCAGGCCTATATCACGAGATTTCCACACGCGAAAATCGAAAACCGACCGATCGACCGTTACCTTCCTGAGCTGCTGCGCCAGGCGCTCCACGTCCGGGCAGGAGAGATCGATGCATTCTAGCCGCTCGGCGCCCCCCATTCCCATCTCTCTAATTCCTCAGACAAAAACCCCTAAAGCGTAATGGATCTGATAAACATCGAATATACCTCTTTCAAAAAACAAAAAGAAATATACCGTCCTATAGACGGAATATCTTACCCCTAAAAGCATATCCTGCTTTTGAAAAAGAAGATTCCTCTTTCTTCCACAAGCTTTCTTAAACGCTCCAGTCTGGTAGGAATAGGTTCTACCACAGAATGGACAATCCACGGGCTCTCTACGCCTGCCTGTAAAGAAAGTAAGAAAAATCAAGGAAAAAACCAGAGAGCGCGATAAAAAAGGTGAGAGCGAGAAGATATTTACCTACGCTTCTTCTTACCACTCGACGTTGGCATTCTCTCCATGAGTGGAATCGGAGCCAAAGGAGTAGTCGGAGATGGAGCCGGAGTGAAAGTAGTGCGCGTTGGAGCCGGAGTTTGCTCGCTGCTCTTGGCGCGGCGCTTGCTTGCCTTCGCTGAAGGACGCTTTCTTTTCGTTTCGCCGCGAGCTTTCTCTGCCCCTGGCGCTGCTTCTTGAGAGCTCACCACTCCTTCCGGAGTGATGATCATCACTGGAGAAGGATCCTGCTGAATGACCGGAGGAGTTTGGGCCTGCGAGCTTCTTCGGCTCGCTGTTTTCTTCTGACCACCTTGAGGGCCCGTCAAAGTTTCTTCCACGTTTTGCGTCTCCGGGACAACGTCCGGCTCCGTGACCGGTCGACTGGAGCTCCGTGCTGTAAAGAGCGAGTCCAAGCCGTCGTTTTTATCAACAAACATCTGGAACCTGCAAGTTCAATTGTCAAGTATCAGCGTTCGAAGACGAAACTGAACAGACTAGCTTACCTGGAATCAACGGCGGTTCTGCGAGGATTTCTCCTCGGAGTACTTGCTCCTTTCAACCTTAGTTTGAAGTCCGTATCCGATTCCTCTTCGCTAGCATCGGAACCGGAAGCGGTTTTAGCTGGAGGTTTTCCTCGCTTACGCGTCCCAGAAAGGCGCCTGTCTCTTGCTTTCCCAGATTTTGGTGGCTGAGAGCTTGGCAACTCCTGCTCCGAGTCGGATTGAGAAGCTGCACGACTCTCAAGCCTCTGCTTCTGTGAACTGGAAACGCTTGCCTTCGTTCTAACCGCAGTAGCCTGCTTCGCGGCAGTATTCGTCTGACTTTGCGGAGGGGCCTGAGTCTGAGTCTGAGTTTCTTCGGCTTCTTCGTCCTCGATATTGCCTGTTTTTTTTCCTCCAAGATTATGCAGGGCATCGTCTTCGTCGTCGCCGGAAACGCTTGTCTTCTTTCTACCCGCAGTAACCTGCTTCACGACGGTCTGCGTCTGACTTTGCAGAGGAGCCCGAGTCTTAGTGTGAGTTTCTACGGCGTCGGCCTCTTCATCCTCGCTACCGCCTGTTTTTTTTCCTCCAGGCTTATGCTGTGCATCGTCTTTGTCCACGTCGGTCGTCTTCTTTCTACCCGCAGTAGCCTGTTTCGCGGCACTCTTCTTCTGACTTTGCAGCGGAGCCTGCGTCTTAGTTTGATATTCTAAACTGCGTATTTGTTTTCCTCCAACTGTAGCAGCCTTTTCCTGATTCTTTTCCACCGGAACTTGAGTGTCGTCCTCGCTATCTGGATCGGAAGTAGCATTGCCTGTTTTTTTTCCTCCAACTGTGGCAGCCTCTTGTTGATTATTTTCTACCGGAAGTTCTTCTTCGTCCTTACTATCTGAATCGGAAGTAGCACTGCCTGTTTTTTTTACTCCAACTGTAGTAGCCTCTTCTTGATTCTTTTCCACCGGAACTTGAGTGTCGTCCTCGCTATCTGAATCAGAAGTAGCACTGCCTGTGTTTTTTAATCCAACTGTAGCAGCCTCTTCTTGTTTCTTTCCCACCGGAGCTTGGGTGGCAGCTTCTTCATCCTCACTATCTGAATCGGAAGTAACAGTCTTCCTTTTTCCAACCGCCTCTTTCATAGGAGCCTTCACCTGACTTGATGCGGGATTCTCCACGGGAGCTTGAGACTCGTCCTCTTCGCTATCTGAACCAGAAGCTTCAGAAGAAAAATGCTGACTTATGACGTTGTCACACAAGTTGTCCAAGACAGGCCCATCAGCAGCG